TCATCTATATGAGACCGAGGAGCCAACATTTACCCAAGTCCAAAGATGAGAAAGTAAAGGGGCAGGGGGGCAGGGAGCCAGATTAAGAGAAACTGAAGAACCAGAATAAATAATAACACTGACCCACTATGAAAAGTGTAACCAGTATCACCAAGTTTTTTATATATATATATATACACATATATATATGTATATATATATATATATATGTTCATTTATTTATTTATAAATAAAGAGTGCCTCTCCGGGGCATAGGATTCTGTTGGCAAAGGAAATTGAGGATGCAGCTTGGGTAAAATGAAACACATGGTGCAGAATGACTAGAGGCTGTTTAGAAGTCGAGAAACGATACCAAAGTCAAACCAAGTGCATTGTCATTGCGTTGCTTCCAGCCCGAAGCAACCCTCCATAGGGCTTCTGAGACTCAATCTTTAGGGGAGCAGAAAATCTAGTCTTCTAGTGCTCAGAGTGAAGTGCATTGGTAGTCCGATGGTAGGATTTTCCCCCTTCCATGCAGGAAACCCTGGTTTAATTTCTGATCAACACACCTCATGGGCAGTCACTACCTGTACCTCAGTGGAGGCTTCCGTGTTATACTGAACAGGTTTCAGTGGAGCTTGCAGACTTAAGAAAGGCCTGGCAAATCGACTTCCAAAAGGTCACAGCCGTGAGCCGGGGCCAACTCGCTGCCAGCTAGAGTCCCTGGGAGGCACAAACAGTTGAGTGGGAAAAGTTGGCGGGTCAGAAGAAAGTCCTGAAGATCTGCTTCCAGAAGAGCACAGCCTTTGAGAACTCTATGGAGCACAGTTCTACACTGAACACACGAGGCCACGACTTGGAATTGACTCGCCACCAATTCACATGGGTTTGTGTATGTGTGATGAGTGTGGTAAAACTGGGGTTTAGTGAATAAAAATTTAAAAAACCACCCTAAAATTAAAAACCAAACACTGCCATCGAGTCAAGTCTGACTGCTAACGACCCTACATGGGATTTCTGAAGCTCTGGCGTAGTGGTTACTTGTTAGGGTGCTAACCAGTCAGCAGTTCAAAACCACTAGCCGCTTCTCGGGAGGAAGATGAGGCTTTCTACACCCATAAAGAGTTATAGTCTCAGAAACCCACAGAAGCAGCTCTACCTTGTCCTATAGGGACACTAAGAGTTGGAATCAACTAGACGGCAATGAGAAAGAAAACCCTTTAGGGAAACTGACGGTCTGGACTTCCTTCAGTGGCTAAGAGGGCCAAGCACCAGGAGACAACCAGTCCAGGACAAGGCCCCAGGGGAGGGTTTCTTGAAGTTGAATTGAGAAGTCAGGGAAATTAGATGTAGAAGAAAGGAAGCTCACGGCCCTGGTGCTTAGTCTTCCGTGAATGCAGGAAGGGTGGTGATGACAAGATGACTGACAATAGCAAAAAGAGGGCTAATAGTAATGCAGCTGAATAGCACGAGGTGCTCAAAACTTATCTTTTACTTACAGGCAAATCAAAAGCATATGAATGCCAAAAAATAATAACTTATAAATTATTAAGGGTTCATGAGGGGCAGGGAAGGAGGGGGAAAATGAGGACCTGATACCAAGGGCTCCAGTAGAAAGAAAATGTTTTGAGAATGATGATGGCAACAAATGTGCAAATGTACTCAACACGATGGATGTATGGCTTGTGATAAGAGTTGTACGAGGCCCCAGTAAAATGATTTAAAAAAACATGCATGTGTAGCAATTGAACAAAACAAAAAGGAATATGAATGCTGCCCATCACTAGAAGCATCCACAGTTAAGGATTACAAGGGGCTGACTACCTGGGAGGATAGCCAAGAATAACAGATGATAGGTTGATGGAAAGAACACAGGATGAAGGTGTTTGAAAAGGAAGACACTTCTAAGTTGGAGACTGAGAAACTTTAGGTCCTGCCACAGTTACACATTAGTGGGTAGTGAGGTAGGTTGAAGAAATTTGGAATCTAGGTGATGGAAGTATAAGGTCAAAGATTAAACGTTGAGGAAGGAGGGCTTGTAGCTGACAGACAACTGGGAGATGGAACGGGAAGATCCTGAAACGTTTAAGTACAATGTGAGCTCAGGTGAAATGATCTACTTAGGGTGGGAAATTAAAAGGTGAGGGAGGTGTGGGCCAGGGAGGTGCAGGGGAAGCGATTGGGCTCAGTGGAGATGCCATGGTTCAAGGCTTCTGTGTCAAAAAGTTTGTAGGTGTGACAGGCAAACCATCCTCTGGCCACAAGTAGTTGCATCAGTTTATATGAGTATCCTGCAAGTATTTTCTGAGTGATAAGGTAAAAATGACATAAACGTAGCTGGGAAGTACTGTCATAGCTACTGGTCCCTGGTGTATAGCTCATCTTTAGAGGGGCAGGCAGCCTCATCTTTCTCTCAGAGCAGCTGATGGGTTTGACCTTATATAGCCCGACAGATTCCTCTGCACTACCAAATCTCCGTAAGATCTGGTATATAGCAAGTGCTCAGAATGTTTGGTGAAATAATAACATGGCTACCACTCTGAGAGTCAGAAGAACAGGACATAAATTTGGTTCTGCAACTGATTTGCTAAAATTGAACATGCACAAGTCCCCATCAGACTCACCCTGCAGGCTGATTCTCCAGCAGGTTCATTAAGAGACCCATGGTCTCTAATGATGTGGAAGGTGAAGGATCTCCTTTGAGAATTTAATGAAAACTAAGGGTCTTCTCCCTTAGGGCATCACACATGCAGAAATAGCCAAGTCTGTGCTCTTTTATGAGGAGGCTTCGTGACTGGTTACAGGTTGGGCTGCTAATGTCAAGGTCAGCAGTTTGAAACCACCAGCTGCCCCATGAGGAAAAGATGAGGCTTTCTATTCCCAAAAAGAGTTTATAGTCTCAGAAACCCACTGGGGAAGTTCTCCCGAGACCTATAGGGTCACTGTGATAGAATGGACTAAATGACAGTGAGTTTGGTAGTTTTGTGTGTGTGCCCCTCGAATCCAGATGCCTGCAGCCAAACCAGAACTCTCCATGAAGATGTAACCAGCTCAGGGGCCTGATTATCTCGTCCCAACCTATCCTCAAGGAGGCCTCTATCAGAGAAAGGAACTCACTCCTCTTAGAACTGACTTCAATATAACCCTGTCCCCGGGGACTCCTACTGGCTTGAATCCCCCAACTGCTCTCTGAATGAAGATTTTTGTAAAGCCTACAAAGCCGGCGTTGTGCTTGATGCACTCCAATAGCAAGCAGGCTTAGGTGGATCACACTACATTAAACACAGAGAACCCTACGTAGGAAGATTTTGAAAAATCTGATCATAGGAACATGGTTCATTTTAAAACCTAGCTCAGGGCTGGCTAAAAGATAAGAGGAACTTTGTGTGGCATTGTCTCAGACAAGAAACATTAAGTACAGGAAGAGCTAAATGCTGACTTGCTTCAGTTCAAGAGCACAGGCAAAAAGATTCTGAGGAGGCAGGGGAAGTCATGGCTTAGAGGTGGGGAGAGTGACAAGACTGATAGTGCAGTTAGATGTGTTCTCCGTGAGACCTTAGAAACATCATTGCGCCTGAGCTCCGGTTTCCTCACCTACAAGTAAGAGATGGCAATACCCCAAACATGGAAACACAAGGAGAGTTCTAAGTTGAATCCTGGCTATGCAATTAATTTGCTCCACCGACTTGGCCAATTACTCTGAACCTGTTTCCTCAGACATGCGATTTGTAGGATCCTCCCTAGAATTTATCAAGATTTATTGTAAAACCCACCTAGCACAAGCCTGTCATCAATAGGGGCTCGCTAACTGAATTTGATTTCTAGTGCTCTTGTGAAGAGGGGTCACTGTGGACCTTCTGTATTCTGAATGGATCTGGCCGGGAAGAGGGAATCAAATTTTCCTCGTTGGGTAGGTCCTCTGTCCCAGGTGTGTCTTTCACTCCCTTTCCCCGTTCAGTTTGGTCCGTCTCCATGGGCAGGCCATGCAGCGAGTCACCGAATTGTGGTGTCTAGCCAGTCTTTACCTCCCACCAAACAATTCTGCCCTGAGGCCTCTGGGTAAGGGAAGGTGGGGGAAGATACTGATATAATGCTAGGATGTAGTTGTGGGTGTTTACTGGGTTGTGATTGTCAAAACTTGGAACCCTAATGAGGGGATTGGTCAGTTTTGCCAACCTGCCGTTTCAAACACCCACCTCCAAAGAAGAGATTGGAGGACTTTGCTACCATGGAGGAAGAAGAGGCAAGAGGGGACAGTATCCTTTGGGCCCTGAGGTCACTGTGCATCGGACCTCCTCAGAAAGCAAGTTATGATGGCAGAGCAGAAGCAAGGGCAGAGCCAAATGCTGGGGTTCCTGGTCCACGTAGCCAGCAAAGCCGGGTGCCTTTGGGCAGGAGGATCAGTTGTGGAGTGCCTCCAAGCATTTACTTGGGGAGCTAGAATGGAGGGACTTTGAGTTGAGTGAATGGCCTTTGGGGCATTTACTGGTAACACTAAAAAGAAGTCTGTGAATTTTTAACATGGCCCTAGCAGGGCACAGGCCAAGGAAGCAGAGAAGTGCCCCTGTGGGAAAGACTGAGAAGAGGCTATCCCGACTGGAAGAACTACCTTGAGCATTTCTAGCCCTGTTAACGTCCAATGAACTGCCTGGTGTCAGAATTAGTAGAGAAGGGTGGAGTCACGTCTGACCAGTGGCTTGCAGGAATCGGCCTTGGCCAACCTGATGCTGATACTGGTGGGGTCAAGTGTCCATCATTCCCTAACCCGAGCTGCAGTGCTGGCTGGAACCAGAAAGTCAAATCCTCCCTTTGCAACTGGTTTACCCTCACCCGAAACCAAGCAAATCAGAATTTCTTATCCTAGAATGTCATTTGTTTTGCAAACTGAATCCTGAGGGTGTTTGCAGCGCTCTGAAAAAATGAACTCACTAAATTTGATAAGGTGATTCCCAACCTGATCTTGAGTGGGATTAAAAAAAAAAAATCAATGGGCCCTTGCCTTAAAAGCCTTGCACACAGTAGGGAGTCAAAAAACCAGCTCATTCACATTGAAAGCAGCACACAGGTAGAACTTTTGCTATATACCACGAGCAGATAATTATGTATAAAACTTATCTGCAAGGTTTAGGAGCATCTTTTTTTTTTTTTTATAGGAGTATCATCTTAAAGGACAGTTTTATCCCAAATATAGTTAATTGGGAAAATTAAATGGAGCACAAGGTCCCTAATAATCTTTCCAAAGCTGTTTCCTTGCTTCGCACTTGGCCATGGGCTGGAAGAGGCAATAGCTTACTGGCACCTGGTAAGCCTCAAAGTTTTCCATATGTCACATCATAAATCTATGATCTCTGAGGGGGCTTCAAAATGGTCGTGGGAAAATCCCTTCAATTCCATTCTTCCCATGCATTTCTTGAAACCCTGCCCTCTTTTGTGCCCTCAACTAGCCAAAAGGACTGAGATTCCAACCCATCAGCCACTCCACAGGAAAAAACTAAGACATTCTGTTACCATGGTGACTCTCTGGGCTGGTTCTACCCTGCCCTACAGGGTCACAATGAACTGCACACGACAGTGAAGGCAATGGTTTGGGCATGATTTAGAAAGGTTCAGAATGATAAGCTAGACAGTAATCTCTATACAAGAAAATATATACTAGCAGCTCTGCTGCTTTTACAACTGCTTTCTAAGTGACCCGGGGGCTGAGGTTTGGACCTTTTCCTCATACTTAATTGAGGGAAGGTCCTGGTTGAAATATTGTCCAGGGTCCCTTCCAGTGGATGTTTAAATCTGGGTTCTTGGCCTTTTTGGCTTATCTTTATAGTAGAGCTAGTTTAGGCCAAAGGTAAAACCTTATTAACTAAAACTCCAGGGTGCACTCACTTATGGTTCAAGTCCAACTGTACAGAGTGGTGCTTGGTCCCACACTGGACATTTTAAAATGCTGCTGTGACTCCACTGGAAATCGGTGACCTTCCCACTCTCTGGTTCCTTTTTTAATGTTTAAAAGTTCTTAATCAAGGTTCCCCTGTGGACCCTGAGGCACCATGTGCTGTGCTGTTCATATATAGATAGAATCCCACAACTTGCTTTTGAGACCTGCATCCTAAAACCAAAATAGCTCATGATACAGCCTCTAAGTCATCATTTATTGATTTATAGAGCACCCATCACATGATTGAGGTGCTTTACAATACAGTAAACATCACAACAGAACTCACATAGTTAAATACAATCAACAAATTACAGAACTAAAAAAAAAAAAAGAAACTGGAACCAAGCAATATTATGTCAAATTTCAGAGATGCTGAGAAGTGGCAGTACAAAAAAAAAAAAGGTAATTCCACCAACTGGAGACCAGACAGGCGAAGATACACAGGCACCGCAACCCTGAGTGGGTAGATTTGTAGGGGGTGAGCGAGCAGATGTAAGACAAAAGTTCACAACTGAGAATAAAGGCCATTAATATGACACCCAAGGGACCACAGACCTAGTGGAATAACCCAGCAAAGATATTATCTTATAATGACAAGGAAAATCCTGGATTTTAAACTCACAAGACGAGACCAGAAAGTCATTGAGATCATCCACCCAGTACAAGTACAGGCTGAAACCTTTGAATTTTTTACGAACATGGGAGTAAATTTAGGAGACTCTGTCCACAGTCCTACTACCCATAAAAATATAGAGATGTTGTTGATCACTGACACAAGGTCGGGGGCTAGGGGTGGGTGGGGGATCCTTTTCCTAAGCAGAGAGTAATCGCCTCACACTGATGATGAGGTACGGGTGGGGTAAAAGCCACCTGAGTCAGTGTCACCCGAGTGCGGCTTCACATCAAATGTAGAAGCATTTAAATCCACACAGCCGACTGGACACTGAGAAAGGCACAGAGGAAAAGAAGTCCTGGCATCTCTCTAGGCTGTGTGTCAGCATGGAGCCAAGCTGGGTGGAGAGAGGGGTGCACCCAGCTCCTGGCTCTCTCCCCACTCCCTAGATCTAGCCTTTAAAAAAGAAAACACATGGTTAAACCAAAGTCACTGCACTAAAGTGGCACTTGAAGTTCACTAACAGTTGTCCCTGAGTTACTAGGCTATTTGCTACTCCCTGAAGGGCCAAATCCAAGGTTTTGACTCAATGGACTGTAATTACAGCGAGAGGAGAGCAAAATTCAGACTCCCACTTTGCCACCAGCAACCACCATGTGACTGATTTCTGACTTAAGAGGGATGGTGTCCCAAGTCCCAAGTAGGTGTTCAGTGCTGGCATTTTGGGGCAATCATTTTTTCATTGAGTCTTGGAGGGGCAGGGGATTTTTTTTTTATAACTCAGTTCGTGAAGAAAACAGGGCTCCAGTGACTCAACCCTAACCGTTTTTACCTTCAGTCACTACACATTTCTGGGTTTTCATCAACACTTCTGAGGTGAGGACAGGGATTTTAGAGAATCACTCGCTACTGTGACTGCATTTTCAACCGTTTTACTTCCGCTGAAGCAAGAGCATACCAAGTTTGTGGAGGCCTGGGCTGCTAGCAGCCATCTTTTTACTCTCATGTACCTCAGCAGTTCTCTAACCCCACTGAGCTGAGATGCACTGTTTCTCACAATGACACACTATGCCTGCCTGGTATTCCCTCATGTTCTACCCGTTCTATGCCAAAGACTACTCCCCATACCCAACCTCACAACAAATACAGAAGAACCTGTACACCTGCCTTGAATACTACACACGTTCATTTTACCAATATCTAAAGTCATTTTAGAAAACTATAGGCTATGGAATATACTTATGCTCATTCATCAAATCCTAGTGCGCTATGTTGGTGACAGAATAGCAAAGCATTCCCCTCTGTAAAGCTTTCAGATTCGCCTAAGAATTCATGTAGAACCCAATATATAGACTGCCATGACCAGGTGATGTTCAAGTATTACATTTGTTTGCATAAGGAATCAACCTGAGATTTTTCTAAACTGCACTTCTCTGGCTTCAGTATTATTACCTCCATTCAATACAAGAAAAGCCAACAACTTGACAATTATTGGAAAAAAAATTGTATTTTGGAAGAACTCACTACATAAGGTGACAGAATTCCAAAATCAAATTACATGAAAATATACATTGCAATTTCTTTGTACAATAGGTGAGGGGAAATCTGCAGTGAAGAACAGAGGCCAGGAAGGATGAAGGGCCGAGGAAGGAGTTGGGTTGGAGGGTAAACAGCATTTGTGATAGCAAACCCAGACGTGAAGTGGAAGGCCGACCGCTGTGCATGCTTTATGTATCCAACCTTAACATCAGGCAACTGGAGGGGGCTGGGAGGAGAGGGAGTGGCATTCAGAATCCTGAATGGTTAGGGTAAATTTCAGGAACTTGAATTCAGAACCAACTCTTTAGTTCTTGAGGGTCATGACTGGGTTCAAGAGCTCTCAACAGCCAAAAAGGTTATTGCTACATCCAATCAGAGAGATGGGTGCAACTAGAGTACAAAAAGGACAAAGCACCTAGTGATGACCACTTCTCCGAAGTCGTCATTAGAAACTCAAGTAGTTGCTTAGTACGTGTTTCGGTATTTGAACTAAATGATTTGAGAAGACAGAGGGATGGAAAGCAAAGGGGACTGTGCCAAAACGAAGAAGATACAAAAGTGTAGTAAACAAGTGGAAAGGTTTTAATGAAGCCTCAGTGGTTTAAAAGGAAATTAAATGGAAACTTTCAAATCCTAATTGCTTTTCATCTGACATGCTTTAAGGAGTCTTAAAACGGATAAGAAACGATGAATCGGGAAAGAAACCCTGCTAAAATCTTTTAAGAATATACACGATTCTTATTCTACTACAAGAAAGCATTATTTGGTACAAGGTGTATTTGTGGATGTACATGAACAGTATATATATTATCCGGATCAAGTTGTGCTATGTACACGTCTTTACAGTTCTTCCTGAAGGTTAAAACAGTTCATTAGAATTCAAAATGCGTAATCGTCTCTAAGTTGGCACTGGTTAGGCTCTTGGCAGCATTGATAACTGGCATGTTTTATTGCAGCCCAGTCCAGCCAGTGTTTGCCAACTTGTTACAACAGAAGTCCAGCAATAGGTGGGTAGAGTGCAGGGGAAACAGTGCCATGTTTCTCAATTGGAGACCTACAACAGAAAAAACACATTATGTAATTAGTTCAGACAAACAAATAGTGAATTACGAATTATTTACTCAATTTGAAACTTAGAAATAAGATGCCCAAACTTCTTAAGTCTATACAATACTCTAGATTCAAGTTAAAACCATTTTATCCATGGGGCCTTCCACAAATGAATCTCTGTCCCCATCTCTTTAATGAGGTTGAAAGTAAAAACTCCTATCTAAATAAAAACTACCACCATCATATTGAGTGCTTGTTATATGTCAAGCAGTCTACAGCCTGCTCCACAAAACAGACTCATGCTGACAACTGCCATAGGAAGGCGCTCCCTTTTCCTCCTGTTTTACAGAGAAACGTGAAGCAAGGTCCCACAACCAGTAAGGGGCAGACTTTACAGTTTTAAAGGTTAGCAAAAACACAGACGAATATTCTCATTTGTACACTTGTTTGTGTTATAAATAAAGTCTCACTTAATGATCGGGATTTCCAAAGCCTTTATTATACTGATGTGTGCTTCGTACTTATGACTTGGGGGTGGGAGGGGAGAACACCTATGATAGCTTTGAGTCGAGTGTTTCAAGACACTCAGAAACCATACCTGCTGCCAAGCACAAAGAACACAAAATGTGACTGAGAATTCAAGAGGGATAATTTTTAATTTCATACAAAGCCACCCAACATATTTAAGAGTTATAGCAAACATACTACCCACATCTGATACGGTAACGTTTGTGTGTCTTTTAAAGTTCAGAGTCAACTTACCAATCTTAATCACCCAAATCGAACCATGCCAACAAAGCTGGAAGCAACTTTGCAGGCCTGCATTTGCCTATTTCCATCATCTAAACCACCTCACCAGGGTAGGGCACAGAAAATAGAACTATTACAAAACCTCATTACAAAAGGGGTAGACCTCTCTGTACCAATGGTGAATGTAAATGCACAGGCAAAGCACTGCCCCTGCCTACGTCACCCACACCCACACTGGGACCCACCATGCACACCCAGCGAGGCCGACGTGTGCATGGTGTATTAGGAGACTACAGACACACACTGAAACTCGAGAGACATTGTTAGGAAAGAGCTTTTAGGTAATATTACTTGAATGTTTTTCCAGAGACAACATCACACCTAAATTAATCCCTGGTCAATTAATCCCCAGGGATTAAGGAGAACTGGGTATAGAGTTTGGGCATTCAGTAATCATTCCCCTATTATACAAACTGTGAGAAAATTCGGGTCTACAAAAGAACCATTTAAAAATGGTTCTTAAGTGATGTTGCAGAAACCCCCCAAGAGATGACTGACGGCTGAAGGTTATTAAATGCCTAAAACCAGACCAGGCAACCTAGCCTTTCACAGCGAGGGCCCAGCTGTGAATAGCATCAGCCCTTGCAGCAGACACAGAAAAATCTGTATTTCCCCTCACGATGAATAAAATGTATTCTAAACAGAGAAAAAGTCTCAATATTGTACAGGAAAAACACGGTTTTCTTTTCTCTCATCAAACTCATTGCCAGTAAGTCGATGTCGATGTATAGTGACCCTACAGGACAGGGTAAAACTGCCCCAGTGAGTTCCCAAGACTGTATGTAACTCTTTACAGTCTTTCTGCCTCAGAACGGCTGGTGGTTTGGTGTTCAAACTGCTAAGCTTGCAGTAAGCAGTCCAGTACATAACCAGCCCATGCCACCAAGACGCCTTTTCTCTGGAGCAGCGGTTCTCAGCCTTCCTCAGGCCGCAACCCTTTCATACAGTCCTCATGTTGTTATGACCCCCGGCCATAACATTATTTTTGTTGCTGCTTCATAACTGTAATTTTGCTACTGTTATGAATCGGGCGACCCCTGTGAAAGGGTCGTTTGACACCCCCCCAAAGGAGTCACAACCTACAGGCTGAGAACCACTGCTCTAGAGCAAGGATAATAAGGCTAGAATAGATAAATTTGATACACTGCAACAGAATAGGTACTCTATAGTATAATTTGACATTTAAGTAAATAAATATAATAACATGTATGCAGGCAACTTTTTAAAAAGATGATTAACTATTTCATTCAAATATTTGATTGACTGACCATAGAATACCATATTCTGTGCATGATGCAGGTAAATGAAAGCATGAACCCATTTTTATTATTTTTTTAAATCATTTTATTGGGGGCTCGTACAACTCTTATCACAATACATACATACATTGTGTCAAGCACATTTGTACATATGTTGCCATCATCATTCTCAAAACATTTGCTTTCTACTTGAGCTCTTGGTATCAGCTCATTTTTCCCCCTTCCTCCCGTCTCCCACCCCCCATGAACCCTTGATAATTTATAAATTATTATTTTGTTATGTCTTACACCATCCGAGGTTTCCCATCACCCACTTCTCTACTGTCTGTCCCCCAGGGAGGAGGTTATATGTAAATTCTTGTAATCTGGTCCCCCTTTCTCCCTCACCTTCCCTCCACACTCCTGGTATTGCCACTCTCACCACTGGTCCTGAGGGGTTCATCTGTCTTGGATTCCCAGTTCCTATCTGTACCAGTGTACATCCTACGGCCCAGCTGGATTTGTAAGGTAGAATTGGGATCATGATTGGGAGGGTGGGGGGGGATTGTATATTTCATCATTTCATCATTGCTACACTGTACCCTGACTGGCTCGTCTCCTCCCCACAGTGAACCGATTTTTAGAAGCTATTAAGTCATGCCTTCTGATGTGATTTTTAAAAACCCAACTTTGAAATAATTTCCTTTTTCATTACACAGCAACACACTTGGGGGTTCAGATGCTTATTTAGGGTTAGTTTCCCATTGCCTGGTACCTTCAATAGCGAATAGATGCGACGGAAAGGTAAATTACAGGTGTTACAGTGCTTCAGAAAGGCAAGAATTTGGAGATGAAGAGTAATTGTTTCATAAAAGAGGTAAAATGTATGTGGAGTTCATCTGACAAGTGGCAAAAGGAGGAGTCAAACATTCCAGATCCTTGACACTGACATTTGTATCAAAAAGAAGGGCATTACTATATAAGGGGAAAATACGATTTTTAGGAAACAGACAATAATCAAGTAACATGCTGGGTACTTACTTACCTGAATGCTAACTTAAGTAGTAGTTTGAACATTACTCAGTAGTCTAATGCTACCCAAAGAATGTCTGACCACAGGTAAGCCAGAGGTACTTCTTTTTCTTTTTTAAAAATCATTTTATTGGGGGCTCTTACAGCTCTGAGCACAATACATACATTCATCCATTGTACCAAGTTACATTTGTACATATGTGGCCATCATCCTTTTCAAAAGATTTTCTTGCTACTTGAGTCCTTGGTATCAGCTCATTTCGCACATCCCCCCGCCCCCCCATTGATCCCTTGATAATTTATAAATAGTTGTTTTTTCCATGTTTTACATCGACCACTGTTTCCCTTCACCCACTTTTCTGTTGTCTGTCCCCCTGGGGAGGGGTGTTATATGTCAATCATTGTGATTGGTCCCCCTTTTCTCCCCCCACTATCCCCTTACCCTCCTGGTATCATTACTCTCATTATTGGTCCTGGGGGGGTTATCTATGCCTGGATTCTTTGTGTTGCAAGCTATTGTCTGTACCAGTTTACATGCTCTGATCCAGCCAGATTTGTAAGAAAGGTAGAATTGGGGTTGTGACCGGGTGGGGGAAGCATTAAAAAACTAGGGAAAGTTGTGTGTTTTGTCACTGCTATACTGCAACCTGACTGGCTAGGCCAGTTATTGCTGATGAACTTCAATCTGATAAAATACAAATTCCTTTCTTCAATTTTTATTAATGAAACACAGTTTAAAGTACTATACTTTTTTAATACCTAAGTCTGAGCTCAATAGTGGCTTAATAAATAAGTTAGATGAGGTAACAAAAAATAGTCACTCAATAAAATCAGTGTATGCTTAATTTCATTTAAGACTGTTTTCTATCAAGAACATCAGCTGTCACCCATTTTCACGATAGTACAAATCTGTTCTTACAACTCATGAAGGAATTATCTGTAGTACATTTAACCTTTTTTAAAAATATATCATTTTATTGGGGGGGTCTTACAGCTCTTATAACAATCTATACATCAATTGTATGAGCACATTTGTACATAAGTTGCCATCATCATTCTCAAAACATTTCTACTTGAGCCCTAATGTGTGAACAGCGCTAATCTCAATTAGTCAAAATTTCCAATTACTGTTTCCTTATTCTTTAAGTACAGGTTAATTATTCATTTAATTTCTTCTTAGTAATATGGTAGATTGTTTTGCCATTAATCTATTTTACGCAGTGAGGTACCATAAGCCAACATTTCGAAGGGGAGGTGGAACCTTCCTGAAAGGGGCCCTGATGGTCCTGTGTGTGGATCAGGTGCGGGGCTGATTCACAGTTCAAAACCACCAGCTGCTCCACAAGCTAGAGAGGAAGTTGTCTGCTCAGCAGATTATATAGATTCTGGGAACCTCTACAGAACTACTATGGGCTGGAACTGACTCGATGACAAGAGGTTTTGTCTTGGTTTTTGTATACTAACTTGACATAGGCAAGATTTTAATCTTCATAAGTCGATTTTCAATATATGTGTATGTCAATTAAGTCTAGACTCCAGTAAAGCTGATAATATACAATTCTTCCCAAAATTTGTGACCTTCTACTGCAGCAGTTCTCAACCTGTGGATCACGACCCCTTTGGGAGTGGGGGTGGTTTGGGGGTGGAAACGCCCCTTTCACAGGGGTCGCCGGATTCATAACAGTAGCAAAATGACAGTGATAAAGTAGTAACGAAAATAATTTTCAGGGTGGGGGGGTCACCACCACATGAGGAACGGTATGAAAGGGTTGCGGCACTAGGAAGGTTGAGAACGACCGCTCTACTGCCTAATTGTTGTCGATTTCGACTATGAGGCAGAGTAGAACTGCAGCACACAGTCTTCCAAGCTGCACAATTGACAGAAGCAGACCGCCACTTCTTTCTCTCCTGGAGCATCTAGTGGGTTCAAAAACTAACTTTTTCGTTAGCAGTCAAGCACTTAACCATGGTGCCACTAGAACCCCGAGACTTTGCTGGTATTATTGAATTACTTTTTAATATACTATAGCAAGGTAAACAATAAATACTTCGGGTACTTTCTAAATGTATAAAGTATAGTTTATATATAAGGTACAGCTATGCATAAAATTAGCTTCCAAAAGTTGTTACTTTTCACTTCTTTGTTGTTCCTAAAAGGGAGTTAGTTCTAAACATAAAAGAAATTAATCCAAATAAATAAAATTAGATGAAAGGGGATTTATTTAAGGCAATGAGGAGAAGGAAAAGAAAATCATGAACTAGAGAGCAATAAAGTAGTAACATGGTGAAAGGAAGGGCAGTACACATTAAGGGAGGTCCGCACAACATGCCAAGATGCAGGAAGACGGTGGGAGTAAAGGCTACAAAGGTAAATATTACTACATCCAGATATGCATCCTTTGTACTCTAAAGAACTAGAACACATTACACCCAGCAGTGAGTCATGAGGAATTGCGACCAGAGGGATTGCAGGCAGGATCAAAAGCCAGAGCATAAGCTGGTGGGCTGGGATTCCTGGCCCACAGTTAGAGCAAGCTGAGCACCTGCAGGCAGGAGGCCCATTTGTGCAGTACAGTGCTTCCAGTCCCTAACTGGGGAAGCTACATGTGCAGAGGCTTATGGCAGATGGGTTGCCCTTTGGGCATTTGTTGGTCAAAGGACTGCATGGCTGAGTGGCCCATGCCTGTGGGCACATATGAGAAGAGGCTATCCTGTCTGGAACAATTGTAGTCTTTCCTGAGCATCTCTGATCCTGAATTATAACTTTGGTAATAAACCCTGTAATTGTGAGTATGGTCTGTGAGTCTATGTGGGCACTGCAATAAATTATTGAACTCAGCAGAGATAAACAAGTGCAGTGGGAAAAATTGCTGGGGTCAGAACTGGTTAAGAGGGCTGGAGGGTGGATACACATCAAAAAGCAATGCTTGCCGCAAATTGAAAAGCAACTGCAATGAGAAGCAAAAGTAGACAGGTAATTTATCTAATGAAATACAAACGTGGAAAGAGAAATATTTCCACATATAACAATAAGGATCAATTTCAAGAATATAACACTGAGCAATAAAAGTCACAAAAGAATGCATTCATTAAAATTCCCCACATATACCGTTTAGAAACTAGTAATTTATTGTTCCGAAATGAAACGATTGGTAAAAGTATGCTGAAAAAGAATGATAAAGCAGACTGGGGAAGATGAGAAGCAGATCAGAGAGGAGGGTATTTGAATACAGAGGCTATCAAAGGTATAATAATGGTCTCTTTCTTCAATGAGGTGGTAGGTACAGCAGCTTGACAGGTTGCATTTCTTAATAGTTTTAATCACTTAAGATTTTTGGTGTTTTTTCAAAATATAAAGTCAAATAATCTAAATGTAGATGTGGTCAATTCTGTGTCCTCCTTCCAAGTCAAATAAATGCCTTCCACCTTTGGCACTGTGCTAGACTAGACCTAAGATAAACTTGGGAAATGATGTTATATTATATAGTAAAAGGGAGTTAGTTTCATTTCCTACAGCCCATAATGATGAACAAGCTAATGCAAGAAAGATCCATGATATTTGATGGTCTTGGTGATAAATTGCAATATAGGATCTTTCTCTCAAAAATAGTAAACTAATCAAAGTTATTCCCTATCACACATAATTCACACTATGAGAGAGTATAAGACACATTAGTGTCCAGCAGTGGTCAGCAGGGAAGGCCCAAAGGTTAAAAACCAGAAGAAACAAGTACAAAGGGGCTTTAATGCTTGAAATTGCACCATTAGGGAAAAGAAAAACATGGCCAACATATCCACCATCCTAACACAGAATGCCTAAAGCCAGGTCTACGGTAAGAGAAAAGCAAGCAGGTTACACCAAGTCCTTCAGGATCAGCAAGCTACTGGCTAGTACTGCCAAAAAACGAAACTGACAAGAAGTTCAAATGACCAATTCATATAATTTCCCAAAGCACATCTAACATTTACAAAAAGCAAGGCAGTACCTGAGTTTTAAAATATACTTACCCTGAAATAAGTGAAGTTACTAGCTGCTGAATAAATGTCACTCAAAAGCAGTCTCTTGGCTTTTCCTTACACAGCGGGCAACTTTCCTTTTGAATTCTCCGTTTCTGTCTTCCCTCCATTCTTTCTGTAGGTACACAAGTAATCAAGTGATTTTATGCGAATTTTCTTTATAATCTCAAATATTAATTTTAGTAGTGACAATAAGACATTAGTAATTTACAGACACTGTAAACATATAAAAGTAAGTAACCTTAAACAACCTAAAAGAGCACTAAAGCACCAAAAGACATTCAGCGCGGAATCTAGGCAGTCCTGAGTTATAAACGTCTGCTTACAGACAACCCGGAGACACAAAGCAACCATTACAAAGCTCATTACACTAGAAACTGCAGATACATACACTGGCTCATAACAAGTGGGCACCTTGTGACCTGTACAAAAACGCTTTACTGATCCTAATCTGCTAAAGATGTTTTACGGTATGAATTGCTAATAATGTTTGTAGGTTATTTTTGAGAGAAACATCCTATATTGTAATTTATCACCAAGACCAGGGATCCTCAAACATTTTAAACAGGGGGCCAGTTCACTGACCCTCAGACCCGTTGGAGGGCCGGACTATAGTTTTAAAAAAACTATGAACAAATTCCTATGTACATGCACATATCTTATTTTGAAGTAAAAAAACAAACGGGGGCAAAAACACCCAGCAGGCAGGATAAATGCCCTCGGCGGGCCACAGTTTATGGACGCCTGACCAAGACAATCAGATTTCGTGGATCTTTCTTGCATTAGCTTGTTCGTCATTATGGGCTGTAGGAAAAGAAACTAACTCCCTTTTACTGGACCATGCAAATGAAGTGTCCCTTCCTACCAAGAAGAGATAGGTCAGTCAGTTAGACAGCAGACTGGTTAGTTCATGGCCCTAGTGGGAAGGTCGTGCCTTGAAAATGAGAAGTTTATGTATTAGGCAGTCAACTCCATAGAGGTTTTCCATGCAAGCCAGACAGAAAGCAAAAGGAGGAAGAGAGAAACAGAGAGAGGGGAAGGAACCTGTGTGTAGCAGTGAAGACAGTGACAGCCCTGGAAGGGGCTATGCAGTAGCCTCAGTGGCGAAAGACCACAGGAGCAAGAGAAAAAGAACCTGCAATGAAGGAGGAAATGTCTCCTCCTCAAAGTCGTGTTCCTGACTTTGCCTACATGCACCTCTTCCGACCTGGTTATACCCTGTGACTTTCCTACGAAAACAATTCCCTGCAGCAAGGGCCGTGAACTCTGTGCAGCCCAACAGAGCAGAGTACCACGAAGAGACAGCTGTGTCAGAAGGAGGGAAAAGACTGACTGGTGGGGGTACATCTGAGCTCCACGTCTCTGGGGTCTGCTTTAGGCAATCATTTTACAAATTGTAATTCGTACTCTCTCAAAAATTTCCCATGGGTTTTCTTCTAAGTAGTTATCACCCTTGCTACCTTGCCTGTTTTTAGTTCAGGGAAAAAAGATGAATTCAGTCAGCGAGCTTTGTTAATACTCTAACAAAGGCTCTGAGTAAAGGCTCTGAGTGTTTTTCAAACAAGGAAAGATGAGGAACTGAGAGCTATTCTAGAGAGTAATGAAACATAAATTCCTAGACTATATAGTATGGTCCCCGTTGAGCTTTATTAAAGAGACTGAGTGAGAAAGTGTGTGCACAAGACCACCTTACCGCAGCATCGACATTAGCAGGTGAGTCCCCATTAGGGTCTGCCAGCATAGAAATGACGCTAATCATGATGGTTTCCACGGTGTGGATGGGGAGCCAGCGTTCCTCTGGCTTTTCATAACCGTATTTATCTTCCCCGGGCTCATGAAGAATAGAAATGCACACATCACCATTTTTATCAACTGCAAAATTATAAAATAAAAGTACTGTTGTTTACAATGTCAGTAATTTAGTTATACATAAAATGTCTATTACAAATGCAATCCTGGTTTCCACAGCACCTGTGTAAAAAACATTAAATATACACAAAAGTTATTTTCTAAATTGGAATCTGTTAACCTCTTTGGAAGACCATAGATTTTACCAAATACACAGGACTTACATAAGTCCAATGGGAAAATAAGCATCTTTTTTTATCTGCATAAAACTTATACCTAGCTTATAGATGGTGCTCAGTACATATACAGGTTTTTTTTTAAGTTCATAGAAAAGTGGAATTAAAAGATAATGGAATTTTGTAGCCCTCTCATATAATGTAAATGAATAATGACCCTTATTGGATTTGTACCTCATGAACAGAAAGTATATAGTCCAAAATTAATAAATATTGAGTTTGAATTTAATGGTTTTCTAGTTTTCTCATTAAAATTTTAAATCCCATAAAGGCAAAATTATATTTTGAAGCAAAGTGATATACTCAAATATACAAAAATGCCTTACTGCCATTGAAAATTTACCACCATATATGACATTCACAAGGTTCCAGTATTTACTTTAGAATTAAAGATACATGTAGTACTTACATGAGTATTAAGAAAATATCCTTATTTTTAGAAGATACACATTATAGTAACTACACTGATACTTAACTTTGAAACAGTATATCCTTAAAACCACACCCATTATTGTTGAACTGATTCCAACTCACAGGGACCCTGTAACCAAAAGACAAAACCCAGTGCCACCCAGAAGATTCTGATTTTGACTCCTACTCACCTGGTAAGACTTCCCTATTCTGACGGCTTAGGGCTTCCGAAACTATCAATCTGTACGGGGGCAGACAGCCTCCTTTTTTCCTATGGGAAGAAGTAGCTAGTGGGTTTGAACTGCCAACCTTGCAATTAGCAACCCAATACTTAATGGACAGTATTGCCAGGACTCCTTTAGTGATCCTACAGGACAAAGAAAGACTGCTCCTTTTAGGTTTTCCGAGGTTGTGGCTCTTTTCCTAAGTGATTTCAGTCTGTTACTTCTTCCTTTCATTTCAATGTCCCAGTAACATTCTTAACGGTAATCTTGGTTTCTGATACAAGATCTAATTAAGAATTATATATTGCATTATACTTGTCTTTAGTCTCCCTTAGTTTTTCATGTCTATTGCTTTGAAACTCCAAAGTTCTTATCTCAACTACTCACCAAATAATTGCTATTCAACTCTTTTTAAAAAAATTAATAAACCATTTTATTGGGGGCTCTTACAGGTCTTACAACAATCCATGCATGAATTGTATCAAACTCATTTGTACATATGGTACCATTATCATTTTCAAAACATTTCTTCATGCTTGAGCCCTCTTTTTTCCCCTCCCTCCTCTCATCCTCAACTCTTTTTAAAAAAATCACTTCTTAACTTCTTATTCGATTTAGCTTTTTAATTCACTTTGCCATTTTAGTGTAAAAACTAAATAAAAACCTTCTAAATCTATTTCCTCATAAATAACTGGGCAACAGTTTAGCATCAATTACTGATAATACCCACCTTAAAACTAACCTAATCTGAATAATACATATCCTTCTAATAATCTCCTCTTAACCCAGGTATGTAAAATAATTAAAAATGGGGTTACTCTCATTTCCTCATTAGTTGGGTATTCTTTTACTTGGTTCAAAGAAACTGGCTTCTGCTGCTACCTGCAATGTTCCCACACAGTGGTCTGGATGACACATGGCTTTGGGTAACTTGGTCCCACAACCTTCCTGGGCTCGCACAACAGCTAATGGCCATAGCACCTTCCATACTCATTTTTCTCCCTTGCTTCTATGACAATCTTTTATCCTCAGGTTCTTGAATCATTATTTCTTCATCAATTTCTACTTTCCCATTTCCTTGGTCTGACTTGTTAAGTTCTCTTACCCTACAACATCAGTGAATATCTTTTCCCTACCCTGTTTCCCTGAAAGTAAGACAACCCCCGAAAATAAGACCTACTTACAATTTTGCCTCTTGCTGAAATATAAGGCACCCCCCCCGAAAATAAGACCTCCCAAAAATAAGGGTTTGGATTGTTATGATGTTCCAGAAGATGATGGCATGAGTGTCATTAAATAAGTGAGTAAATGTACCACAGATTGTTGTACATGGAAACAATGGTAGTAATAAGAAATTCTTGATACTGTAGGATTAACAGTTTGTCTGGTTATGCAGGTTTGTGATGACAACTACTACCATACCATATACAGGTAATAAATTTCCTTTTTCTGCTGTTCAACAAGAAATGTGTACCGTATTCTTCATGGAAAAATAAGACATCTCTGAAAATAAGACCTAGTACATCTTTGGGAGCAAAAATTAATATAAGACACTGTCTTATTTTCGGGGAAGCAGGGTAGTACATGAATTCATTCTTGTATCGCAGTGTTATTTGTTATCTTGATGCCGGTAATTCATAAGGCCCTGAGCTCTGAGCGTGGTTTTATTTAGTAACAACTAGATATGGCAAGTATAACTCAAGTAACACAAACCCAAGGCTGAATAATCTCAGCTACATAAAGGTAATCTTCATAACAATGTTTCCCAATGTGGGTGACAGAGTCTGCCAGGGGGGCTAGAATGATTCAAAGGAAAATATCTACTCTAGAATTTATTGGGATAATAACTATACAACCCTCTGAACATACTTTTAAATAATCATTTTATTAGGGGCTCATACAAATCACCACAATCCGTACATACATCATTTGTGTCCAGCTCATTAGTACATATGTTGACCTCACCATTCTCACAACACACACTTTCCACTTGAACCCTTGGTGTCAGCTCATTTCCCCCCTCCGCCCCCCCCAACCCTTGATAATTTATAAATTATTATTTTATCATATAAACATTAAAAAAAAATCAAACTCACTGCCATCTTGTTGATTCCAACTCACAGGGTCGAATTGCCTCTGTGAATTTCCAAGAATAAAAAGTCTCGTCTTTCTCCTGTGGCACAGCCAATGGTTTCAAATCACTGGTATTGCAGTCAGCAGCCCAGCATGTAACCACGATACCACCTGAGCTCCTCAACTAACTACGCAATTGTATACTTCAGATGAGTGGATTATATGTTATGTGAATTTTATCTCTCTAAAGCAAAGCTGTTACAAGAATTACTCTAGAGCAGGGGTTGAGCAAACTTTTGAGACAGAAGGGCCTATGCTGTCCCTCACAATTAAAAAATTATTCAAGAGCCATAAACGTATTTTTCCAAACTGAAATCACCACTATCTGAGTATTATCCTTTAAATAAGTAAAACTTTATAGTTTTATTTTCATTTTTAATTTTACTTCAGAGCTACAGGTACAAGGGGGTTACCCACCCCCCTGCAAAAAACAAACCAACAACCACCTGGAGTTGCACTGGATGGAGCAGAGCACTCATAGTATGCATGTTTCCCAGTAGTTGAGCCTGAAACAACTCAGTCTGAGTTTGTACACCCAGTGGCGGTTTTCTCTGGTGAGAGTGAATTTTTACATAAATGCAGTTTCGCTCAAATAGTGTGTGTGTGTGTGTGTGTGTGTGTGTTGGCCGTTTTAAGAGAACAGCGTGTGGCTGTGAAATTTTCTTTCCTGTGCCCAGTGGCGGATTTCTCTGGTGAGAGTGA